TTTAAGCCAATTTCTGATGTCCATTTTGTAATTCAAACAGAAATGGGAGTCTACAGAATATACAAAAACAATAAACTAATCCAGAATAGGCGGCAGAGTGTGACGCTGTGATTGGTCTAAATGTGGACGAATCACAAATCACAACAGACACATTAATTTATTTAACGTAGCCTGCGATTTTTTTTTAGTTAGCCTACTATCTGACATCACATACATCGTAGCATAAAAGTTCACCGTTTATTTATAATTTAAAATATATATATATATATTTTTTTAAAGTTTTAAATAATAAAAAAACGTGTTTATTGGGGGAGGGCAGGAATATCAAATGGGAGGGCCTGGCCCTCCCTGGCCCTCCCACGGCGCCGGGCATGCTGCAGTGTAATACAGTTATCATCACTGTGGTCACATCGGGGACCCGTAACATTTACAATAGTTGAGATGTGAAGGGGGTTATGTTTTTTTGTCTGTGTTCCTGCAGTTTTTTGGAACAGACAGTACACACGTTCAGAGGATGAACGTGGCTGCAGTTGAATAGTCCATTTAGCTTAGGAACCTTCCTAACGGAGTGACCCGGAAGTCCCTCAGTGGCAGCCATGATAAGTGCCGTTCCAATTCTCTAGATGAAAGGAAAGGAGGTTTCAAACTTCCTTTATAACCTCCTTTAGCTTAGGAACCACTGGACCTCCCTTGACGAAAGGAGAGGAGAAAAATGCTGCCCCACAATGCCTTGCAGCCGCAGCATTTGCCGTCACACAACAGTCGGCCGTTCACGGAAACAACTGATTATGACCGAGAAATGATATCATGAAAGTTACGGTGCTTATTAAGCATTTTAAAACGTATGTGGTAAGTTGCCAAAGTGCTTTGTTTTGAACGTTCATCAGTATTATAATCAAAAAGAGAAATATGAACGTTAGTTTTTACTGAAATGATCAAATAAAGTCAACATTTCACTGAGCTGTGTGGGGTTGTTCAACTTTTAAAAGATGTTTGAATGGTGATATACAGTGATAGATGTTAAGGACTAATGTTTATAATAAATACATTTGTATTTATTTTAAGATATTTTCAAACAATCATACGTATTGGGATCATTTGTATTAATGTGGACCGGAGGGAGAGGGTGACGAGCATAAGTTTCACTTTTCTTTTTTATTTCAATTCCAACTTTGGTCATGAAGAATATGTTTCTCTGTTGTCCACGTTCATAAAGCATAAAGCAACAGCATCAGAGCACGGTGCAGAGTCTCTAGATGAGTTTACAGTAGTCCCTCGTTCTTATTAAACATCCATGTTGTAGTCCGCTGTATAGAAAACTGTAGTTTCCATAGTTTCCCCACAGCAGCAGACGCACAAAATGACGTCCGCTGGCGCATCATAAACACGTCGGATAGTGAAAGTGCAGTCGGATTCTCTAAAGCAGTGGTTCTCAAAGTGGGGTCCGTGGCACTCTTCCAGGGGGTCCGTGAAAAGTTTTCAGATTCATTAATTTAAATTATCATGATATCATTTTTTTTCATTTTTTTTTTTTTCAACAAATAATCTTTTTTTTTTTAATCTAAAATATTTCATAGATTACGTTCAAATCTAACAAATAGATACATTTAAAAATCAAGCGCGTTACCGTGGAAACAACAATAACTGTTACGTCAGTCAAAGAGCGCCGCTGCAAGCATCATAGATATATAACACGGCTAGCATACTACGAAGATGGACAGATTTTTAAAACGACCGGTTACGGCTACAAATGAAGTAAATGAAAAACAGACAGGTCCACAGAAACTAACCGGTATGCTTAGTCCTAACTTACTTTAGTTACTGTACTGCAAAAAGCAGACGGCGCTGCGCTCAACACACAGACAGACTCAAAACCATGGACACACTGGCACATAAGTTACATAAACAATTTCTAGGCCTAAATTGCATAAGCTACAGTATTGCAAACTAAGCAGACAGTTTTCTCTTCTCTCTCTCTCTCTCTCTCTCTCTCTCTCTCTCGTCTCTCTCTCCTCCTCTCTCTCTTCTCTCTACTCTCTCTCTCTCTCTCTCTCTCTCTCTCTCTCTCTCTCTCTCTCTCTCTCTCTCTCTCTCTCTCTCTCTGTGTGTGTGTGGAACAAATTGTAATTTAAAACACATTTCCTACATGTCTACACCACCTTGCCCTCTTTGGATTTAATCAAGAAACATTAACCCTGTATAATGTTAACCAAAACTGTAAAATTATGTTATATTACTAAAAACGTATTATTGGGAATCGCGAGAAGTTTCAGAGCGACAGAGACACAGAGCGTCCCCGTAACCATGGTAACTCACTCTCACTCCTGCCTGGTGCGCATGGCGCGAGAGGAGAGGGAGAGACGCAGAAGTGAGACTGATTACTTTGAGCAACATGCATGGGAATAAGTTACAATATAATACATTTGTGTATATTTCTCGCTATTCAGATGGTCATGGTGCTGCTGTTGCGCAATGTGAAGAAGTGTCTTCTTTTCGCACCATGACATTATCAGTTATGAATTTGTTTTTCACTGCTTGAGAAAACGGACTTGTGGCTGAGAGCGTGTGAAAAATGTCAATTGTGTGAGAGTTGGCAGCCCTGTGAACTCGCTTGACACTATTATGTATGTAACTGCCAATCAGATTTATTTACTTATTAATCGAAGGTGCCGGAACGCTGTTCTGGATCGTTCCGGCCCACTTTAACCCCTGTGTGTGTGTGTGTGTGTGTGTGTGTGTGTGTGTGTATGTGTGTGTGTGTGTATGTGTGTGTGTGTGTGTGTGTGTGTATGTGTGTGTGTGTGTGTGTGTATGTTCTGAAATGCACTTCAAATGATCACTTTTCTCTTGATTTCCCTTTGATATTTTCTTTAGGTACAGTGTTACTTGCAGCTAATTGATTGATTGTTTTATGGGTATTCTGTGTTGAGATGGTGCAAATATTTTTAATACATATCCAATATCTTTCTAATACATTTCTCTTGTGTTGTTCTTTCACATAACTAAGACTATAGAAGTATAAAAAATAGGCTACGTCAGATTATTCCAAGGGACATACAAGTCAAATCAAGTACATTTTTATTTATATAGCCCAAAATCACAAATCAGAATGAGGGGGTCCTTGGTGTATTCTCTATCTTGTAAGGGGTCCTTGGCTGAAAAACAATTGAGAACCTCTGCTCTAAAGCACCGCAGTAGGCTTGTTTGAGTAGCCGATCGCAGCCGGGGGGAGGTCTCAAAAAGCTCGCCTGAAGTCGGACAGCTCGGAGTCGGCTTCGTCTTCTTCTTCTTCTTCTCTCGGTTTTTTGGCGGATTGCAAACAGCTTGAAGGTGCATACCGCCACCTCCGGAGTCGGCTTGACTCGGTTTGCATTTATAAAGAATGCACACATGTGTTTAATCGTTAATGTCAGATATGTACTAAGTAAATACATTTGTTCCTGCTCAAGATTAGATTCAACTTTATTGTTATTGCACATATTACAGGTACTGAGACAACGAAATGCAGTTTAGCTTCTAACCAGGTGAAACAAGCAGTAAAGTGAAAAGTAATGTACACAATAAACAGAATAAAATATAGAATGAATTGAATGACGAATAAACAGTGAGGGGTATGAATACACTAGATATCAGCCTGTGAGCAGTATGAACAGTGTGTATGAATATGCTAAGATATATAAAGTATGAAAACGGTAAGCAATGCAAGTATAGTATAAAATATATGGATATTAATGTCATGATGATAAACATTGTGGAACAATGATGAAAAATGGGAATGGAAGTGGCGACGTAAAACTGACACAAAACAACAACAAACTTTTGCCCAGCCAATTGGAGAGTTTCATCAGCAGCACGTGGTAAAAACCACCAATGAGCGCTCAGCTCAAGATACCAGCGAGTCGTTTCCCATCAAGCATTTCGCTTCCGCAGCCCGTGGAGAGGAACTGCGCCGCCTCGCCGCGCCTCGCTCTCAAGGCTGCGGGCGTCTTTGTCCCGCGAGATTTCAACGTCTCATGTTGGCGAGCCTCCAGAGCAAGTCGGACAAAATGACTAACCATCATGCAACGCACGAGCAAGACGTTGATCGAAATTGCGCAGGTCTCGCTTGTCTCAAACAAGCCTAGTCTCTTCTCCTAAATCCTTTTGAATTCTCCTATCCACTATCCCTTAACCCCGTGACGTTTCACTCAGAGGTCAAGGAATAGGAGATAGGGTTAGAATTTAGGAGCTGATTTTTAAACTATCCGAACGCAACCCGTGTGTCTGTGGGAGTTTACACTGTTGACAGGAAGTTGTTGTTGCTATGGAAACACCAGATACCATTTCGGAGGGATATGATACATATTAACTTTCAATTTTATGCATTTCAGTTCTTCAATAACATTACTTAACCTCCTAAGACCCAAGCTGTTTTTTTATATGCATTTTTTATTTCTCTTTGCTATTTGGGCTTATTGGAACCTGATAAGTATAACAACTAAGTATCATCTTTTGACATGATGTACTTTTAGAGAAAAATGATGTCCACATATGTGGACACTCGTTCTGAATTTCCAAAAAAAGTCATAAGTCACCTTTTTGTAATAGAGTGAAAAACTATTTTATTTCCACCTTGAACACAGCAGTTTTTCCTGGCTGCTTTTGCATGTATTAATAACTTATACACACATCATTTTGCATGTTTTGAACATCTGAGAGTAAAAACAACATGAAAACACTGCATTTTTGCTCCTTTTGGACTGTCACAACTACAGTACGGCTCATTTAAAACGCTACAAACAGTTGCAGGAAGACATCATATGCCTGTAACAAAATATAAAACATTCAAAGCATTTTGCATTGTCACTGTTGCATCTAATAATACCACATAGGCTACTGTTGTATGTGTTTTGAACATCATTGTGAAAAAACAAAACAGTCACAAAAACTTGGACAGTTACAGTATGGCTTATGTGAAATGTTGCATTGGTCATGTAAAAAAATAAATAGGAATGCTCTTTTCTTTAGGAACATGTACACACCTATGTGTGAAAGGCTGTGTAACAGTTGCGATCGCCTTGCAAGCACAAGAACACTTTGCAGGTCACACAACGCACTCGGGTTCTTCCAGTGCAGCCTGCTACCCTGCAGCGCGCCGCGTTCTTCAGGCTGATCATCTCTGGGAGATGGGCATTCGCCCTCCTGCGGACCGAGACATGGGGCACTGCCGTCACAAAACGTTTCTTCCCTTGATTTGAGTTGTCTTCTTCCTCTGACTGTTCAGAGAGGTCTGCATCGCTTCCTTGACCGTGATGCTGGGCCAAGAGGGTCATAGCCATTTCCGTACGGAACTCAAGGAACTGCATGATGCTCTTCTTTGGTGCAGCACATATTGCGAGGTCTTTGCGGTAGAGCAGCCAGCTGTTGGCTAAAGCCAGATCCGTGAAGTGCATTAGCATCCGCATCGTCCACTTCTTAGTACGGGCGCTCATGCGATAGTAGCTAATCATTCTATCGATCAAATCAACTCCACCCATCTTGAGGTTGTACTCACGGACAATGCTTGGTCGCGAGACAGTCACATATTCTTTCAATTTCTTGTCCCAGCGCTGGCAGGTGTCTTCAGGCTCTGTGCCATGAACAACAGACATCATCAACACTGGTTTGTTGTCGTACCACTTCACTACACACAACTTTCCGTCTTCAGTGGAAAGTTCTGATGAGGTACCTCTTCCTGTGTTTTTCATGGTTTTGTCAGAGGCTAGCTTCTCCTTCGCGCCAGCGAGTCGGTTCTTCATTATTGTACCAGTAATGTACATCTCCTTCTTCATCATTTGTTTCCACACATCGGATGCTTGTGAAGAACCGGTCACAATACACTTTCGTGCCACGATGCAGAGTTTGACACAGACGAGCCAAGACTAAGCCTCCCAACCCCAGGCCCACCTCTTCTTCTTCGACCTGCTCAAGCAGTGCACCTTTACCTTGATACAGATCAAAGTCCAGCACAATGCCATCTGCTGTAGCACAAACGAAGTTCTTGATGCCAACTGGGTTTGGCTTCATTGGCAGATATTGTCTGCATGGACAGGCTCCTGTGAAAGGAATCATCTGCTCATCAATGGATGCGCATTCAGGTCGATTCTGAGACTTGCAGCCTTGCAGAATCCGATCCAGAAAAGGCCTCACCTTCCAGAATTTGTCCCTCTTCCTCAGATCTTCTGGCACATCATCATCAATTAGCACTTTTATTGATCCCCTCAGTCTGAAGAATCTGTTGCGCGTGAATTTGTCAGTGATGGCAGTGATTCTCAAGGCTTTGGACCAGTACATCCTGATTGTTGGGTATCGGATGCAGGACATCAAAATACAGGCACCAAAAAAGTGGTAAACCTCATCTACAGAGGTGTTGAGTAGATCCCCACTCCTAGACAGTGACATAGCATTAGAGCAATCTGAAATCATTTTCATCAAATCTCTATCTATGTACTGTTCAAAATAGTCCAGTGGGGTCCAGCCATTCCTGTCTAGCTCAGTGTCGTCCTCGTGCACAAACTGGGCAAGGTCTGGCGTCAATGGAGTAGCCCTCCAGCGCAACCCACGTCCTGCACAACCAGAATCAGAATACAAATAGTACTTATTGCAAAGTAAGTTACATATTGTTACCCATGCAAGCAATTCACTGAGGTGTATTGGTGCATAACAGTTGAATCTGAGTGGACATTTATATGAAATTTGAAAATGTACCCTCAAGGCATGCTAAAATAATAACAATTACCTTTATTGGGCTGTCCAGAGTGCTTGGTCCTGGTGTTGGCTCTTCCGAGTAATCATCAGAGCGATCAGCCTCGATCTGCTGAGTTTGACGGCGCCGTCTGGGAGTGCGGGATGAACCTGTCCCTGAACCTGAACCTGAACCTGTCAACAAGTGTTGTAAATAACATTTTGCTTCCTATCCTTCACCTAGCCCTGAGGCCCTGCCTAAAATAAACAAATATCCACTGGGTCTTGGCTAACCATTATTTGCACCACGGAGACGTTTACGTCCTCTGCTGTGCTCAGTGGGCTGAGGAATGGGGTCCTCATATCACTACGGTCATCCTCATCCTCAACTGCTGCTTTCGTCCTGTGGTGGGGGTTGATAATTGACAATCCAGGAATGGGATCATCGTTGTCAGAACAAGAGTCTTACCAAATCTGAGTTGTCTCCATCGATTAACCCAAGTAGCTCCAATGTTTGTTGCACAGAAAACCGCTCATGGAAATAAAAACATGAAAAAAAATAAAATCAAATACAAACCAATGTCATTTATATATGTATGCATTTATGTATTTCTTTGTTATTTATTTCACGTGGGACAATGTATAGCCTTTTCAACTGCACCAGAGTTATGCTATAAACAACTCTAAGCTATTAGCTAATAAGCAAAGGCAACATTTGTACTAGCAGATTAACATTTTCAACCCAACTAATTTATGTATGTATGTATGTATTTAGTTATTTAATTGTTATTTATTTCATCGGGACAATGTACAGCTTTTTAGCTGCACCAGAGTTAGCTATAAGCTATTTTACTTGTGCACATTTTTACTAACATATTAGCATTTTCGACCAACCTAAGTCCCGATGTACACATACATGTACATCATGTTTAGCAGCCTACCAAATTGTTATTTTTACACATTTTTTGTCAAATTTGCATGTCATGACAAACGTACAATGCTTTGATACATATCTAAATCAGAAAAAGCCTTGAAATATGATAGGACTTCTTACCTTGTCGAGGTTTGTATTTGGAGCTGCCACTTGAATGATCCCTTGAGTTTGTCGCCATTTTGAATTTTTACCGTAGTGTGTTGTACTCTTCTGACACCACCAGATGGCAGTGTAAGTGCCCACATACGTGGCCATGAGGCCCCAGTTCAGCAGAATTAAACGACTGTGGTCATATGACATTTCAGTCTTCCCAAACCTAGGATTAAATAACATTTCACTGTCGATTGTTATTTTTTAATATTCTTTGCGGAATTTGCTAAATGTCCTCTTGGGTTGCCGTACAGCCAATGCGTGACGTCATTAGTAAGTGTAACGGACCCTGTGCTAATCTGGTCAATCTGGTAGGCCGTGCAGATATGGTACCTACACCGGCTCAGATGATTGGTCGTGCTTTTTACAGATGACATTTTTTTATGGATTTTTTGTCAAAGCACTTAAGATATTCATTGCTATATCGGGGTGTTAAGAGCATTCCATGGAATATAACAAAAAGTGTATCTTGAGCCGGTGTCAGTACCAGATATGTTCGGGCTACCAGATATGTTCGGGTGTATTTCCGTCGCATCCGTCATCGGTCATATCCGTCATATACTCACCTCCCTCTGCTCCCAGCGCTCTGCTGCCACACACTGGCCGTCTGCGGAACTGCAGCCGGAGGAACTCGGGACAGCTTGTTATGTGTGGGGTGCTATGGTGGGGTCCCATGTACTTGTGCACATAAATAATGTTTCTAATTATTTACAATTCAAAAATATATATATTCTGCATTACTTTAGCCAACACTTTTATAAGGCCACTAGATTAGATAATTACGAAATGTGTAGATAGAATACATATCTTTCAGGTTGTTATTTTGTCATTATGTTTAATGTTTTATTTACCTTTTATTATTTTTATATAGTATCTGAACTTTGGAGAGCAGTTGGGAGACACACGACACATCAAATCACATCTACAGATCAAGACGAAGCGAATGGAAGTACTCCCATACTCCTAGCGTGAAAATGTTTGTGAAAACGTGTGCAACGTCTCCGAAAATCCTAAAAATAAGCTCATATTTGAATTCCCCATAAAAAAACACATCATTCAGTAAAAACAAGGCCCCATTGATCATCTACTCTCTGAGACGATTCCAGGGATGTCTGGCTTGAGTTTCTACCACCAGGGAAAGTGGACAAAAGTGCCCGAGATCAGCCTCTTAATTTACCCAGGGCCTAGTGCTTGGCTTTTGGCATGAACATTCAGGAAACTCCCCTGAGTATTTTATTAAATATCTGAACTTTGGAGAGGAGTTGGGGGACACACGACACATCAAATCACATCTACAGATCAAGACGAAGCAAATGGAAGTACTCCTAGCGTGTGAACATGTTTGTGAAAAACGTGTGCAAAGTCTCTGAAAACGGAGCAGTGGCTGTGATGCTAGCTTTGCGGCTAGCGGTTAGTTGTTATTGTTTGAAGTTGTTGCTATGGAAACAACATGACGGAGAAAAAATTAATATCTTCTACATATAATAACGGACAAAGTAAAGAATGAAGTGTAGGCTATGCCTGTTTGAAGTTGTTGCTCAGGAAACAACATGACGGAGAAAAAGTATAATCTTCTACATATAATAACGGACAAAGTAAAGAATGAAGTGTCGGCTATGTTTAAATGTTCGGAATTTGACCGTGATGGCCCTCTTGAGTTGCCGTAAAATATGACGAATATGACGGATGACGGATGCGACGGAAATACACCCAAACATATCTGGTTTGATTGATTGATTGATTGAAAAGTTTATTAACAGCTTGTATATTGGGTACAGTACAGTACAGCTCAAAACATACAATTGTTAAGGGGATGCAGACCAGAGAAAGACTTTCGTCTTGTTTACATCAGGGTCCCCCATTTCCAATTCATCATGTCATTTAAGACATATAAGGCAAGGCAAGGCAAGGCAAGTTTATTTATATAGCACTTTTCAACACAAGGCAATTCAAAGTGCTTTACAAAAAATGAAAGAGATTAAGAAAATGGCATTTAAAATCAGTCATTAAAAAGAAAAGCTAATAAAATAAACATTAAAAGAAAAAATACATGGATAAAAGTTACAGTGCTGTCAATTAAACATTAAAAGAAAAAAGTACATGGATAAAAGTTACAGTGCAGTCTAAGATATGAATAGTTCAATTAAAAGCAGCGACAAAAAGAAAAGTCTTCAGCCTGGATTTAAAAGTAGTAAGAGTTGCAGCGGACCTGCAGGTTTCTGGGAGTTTGTTCCAGATATTTGGAGCATAATAACTGAACGCTGCTTCTCCATGTTTAGTTCTGACTCTGGGGACAGAAAGCTGACCAGTCCCTGAAGACCTGAGAGATCTGGATGGTTCATAATTTAGCAGTAGGTCAGAAATGTATTTTGGGCCTAAACCATTCAGTGCTTTATAAACCAGCAGCAGTATTTTGAAATCTATTCTTTGACACACAGGAAGCCAGTGTAAAGACTTCAGAACAGGAGTGATGTGATCCACTTTCTTAGTGTTAGTGAGGACTAAGAAAGGATATAAGACATATTTGACATACAGATGGCTTATTTACAATTTACATACAGGTGGTTTTTTTACATACAGATTGCTTATTTACAATTTTCATTTTAGATTTCGTTCTAATACATCCTAACCGGACATTTAAGACATACCAAATCTACAGATATACAGTTAGTAACAGAGTCTAAAATGTGAGTATATACATAGATGGGGGGGGGGGGAAGCTGTCCATTGAACGACAGGTTGAGATTTGTACCATTACCGGTAGCCCGAACATATCTGGTACTGACACCGGTTTCTCAAACTTACCTACCCACCTTTAAGTAAAAGTAGAAATACTTTTGTCTGAAAATACGTAAGTAGGCCTACAAGAAAAAGTACTGAATTAAAAATGTTACTTAAGTAAAAGTAAAGAAGTATTGCCAGCTAAAAAGTTCCTTTTCACCAGTGATGGACAGCGAGTCTTTCAGTCTCAGCGAGTCAGAATGTCAGTGATTCAATAAATCAGTGAATCTGTAATTCTGTCAGTCGGTGGTTCAGATACTGCCTGGAAACGCCCCCATTGGACTCCTTTGTTTACTTCTGTAACATGGTGACATCACTTCGTAACACTTGCGCTTCTATTGGCTACCATTCCAACACATAGGCTACGTGATAGGCTAAGGGGCGGGACATCTCTAAGCAGTTGGCCAATCACAACAGAGCCGGCCAGCTTACATTTAACATTATAATATGCTTACCTTTCACCTTTGTGTGCCGTTTTGGGTCTGTGGGACGGTCACGGTTAAACTCCTTATGAAGTGGTGAGGCGCTCCACATTGCTTTTCTTCCCGACTGCAACGCTGTTGTGTGTGTGTGTGTGTGTGTGTGTGTGTGTGTGTGTGAGAGAGAGAGCATTTTATATGTGTGTATGAGAGATTTTTACATATGTCTGTAAATGATTTTAGTTTCAGTTGTGAGTGTGTGAGCAGGCTCCGATTGGCCATCGGGAGATTCGGGACTTGTCCTGGTGGGCTGCTGCCTTTCTGTGGGCCGCTGGCTCTGGCATATAGGGGGCCGTGAACTTTCACAGTGCCGCTGTATAATAATAATAATAATAATTATATAATAATAGTTATCTCCTGTTCATCGCGTCCATTCGCGACCCACCTATCACGTCTCTGCGCCCCACCAGTGGGGCGCGCCCCACACTTTGAGAAATGCTGCCTTATGGAAACAGCATTTAAAAAGGGAAAAGTTTCCAGTTATGACCAAGTAGCAGCAGCAGAAATCCACTGAATTTCACTGATAGTTTATTATAAATTGACTCACTTAAAACAAATATGCGTTAAGAAATATTGCGTCAATATCTAGTGAAGGGGGCATATTGGTGAACAGCATATCACAGTCAGCAGTATCAAACAGTCAAACATAACATATACAAACATAAATGAGCAAACCCCATCATTGTATACATAATGGTGATCACCATCACTCGGCATGAGGCACTGG